TACGTGCTGGCAGCCCTAAAGATAAATGAGCTGCCAGCACAGCACTGCCCGGGAGGAGCATCTCCATGTCCATCCTGGTTCTTCTGCTGCCTCACAGCACCTACAAGTGCTAGAGATCAAAATAGCCACCTGGGATCGTGCTGCTCTGCATCCACAGCCACGCCAGCTTCTCCCCATCACCCTCCTGCCAAAGCAGGCGGATGTTTTCCAAATGTTGAGCACTCGGTGGACCAGGGAGCAAAAAAGCAGAGTTGCGTGTCTTGATGTAGCAGCTCACCTCCAGGCATTGTCAGGACATGATTTGGAGGTGCCTGGGGCTGGTGACCAAAATTCTGGAGAGATGGATGGGAAAATGTGCAGGTTTTTGGCGGGGTTGTGCCTTTTGGGTGAGAAAAAAGGATTTTGAGCTTCTAAATTGTGGACTTCCTATGGACTGAGGTACAGGCAAAAAAATGCTGGAATAAAATTAAAGGCAAACGCTGCATCCAAATGTAGAGCTTCATCCTTTACTCCTCTGATATTTGCCGAGTGTGGAATCTGAACCCAGGGGTTTAGCAGGGCACCATTTCAAGTCCATTTTGCACTGGTCTGCATAACTATGCAAGTTGCAAGGAAATAAAATACTGGCTCCCAGAAATGTTCGAAAGCATGAGTTTTTCTTAGGAACAGAGCTGGGGAAGGCCTGTGTGTGAAGGAATGAATGTTTGCTGAGTTCCCGAATAAATCTCAGCCCAGTTTGAGAGGCTCAAAAGACCAGTGGCTTCTTCCAGTTCCTTCCCTAACAAAGAGCTGGACCCAAGTGCACTGAAGTCAAAGAGAAAGAGCCTCATTGACATCAAAGGAGGTTGAATCAGACACGACGAGGGATGGTCTCAGCCAGGGACCAGCAGAAATAATAGCCTGTGATGTACGTGACCAAGTGCCACCAACCAACAGCCCAGATTCCAGGCATTAAACAGAGCAAACAGCGAACTCCCGAACAATTCGTGAAGACGTGCCAAAAAAATTCAAAGAAAAATATGTAAGGAAACGGCAATGTGTTTGTGGCTATTCTGAGAGCAGAAAAATATGTTATATTTGTGGAATAAATTAGTCTATGGGAAGTGTTCTCTCATCTCAGAGTGGTGTGCAGTGTAGTCAGCTCATCGAACTCGAGCTTCTTTTCTGCTGCCAAAGGAACCAGATAAGCACAGAGCCACAGATGAAACAAGTTTTGATCTGCTTTTAAGGATGGAGTTGCCAGCTACATCTCGTTGCAATAGCTCTCATCGTTCGGATGGTCATTTTTTTTGCTGCTATCTGAAGGCTTCGGTTTATTCTCACACAAACGCTGACAAGCTTTGGTCTGGTGTTTATCCATATCAGACACTGCAAAGCTTGTCCAGTCCCTTATCTCCGTCTGATTAGATTACTGTAATGCCCTGCTGTGGGGTTCGCCAGGCTGCTTCCTCTCACGGGGAATGCCACCGCTGCGAGAGCGTCACCCACGGCACTTGATTCTGATACCATTGTGCCTTTCACTGGCTATGAAGGAAAAGGATGAAACGAAAATGGGATGAGTCTGGAGCTGGGGTCCAAATTGACTAAAAAACGGGGTAACAGCAAGAGCAGGCATCTCTCTGACGTGGCGAGGAAGAGCACGGTAAAGGAATGAGGGTCCGGCCAAAATGTGCTGCTTGCATTTGGTCTTCTCCTGACTGATGTGTCAGGGCCGCGTGGGGACTGACCCGTGCTTCATTCATGGGTGCTCTCAGGGAATCAGAAGGACCTGTTTGACTCTTCACCAAGGGAATATGTGCTTGGTACAAGGAGTGGAGTGAAGGTGGGATTGGGTATGTCCACACCACAGCATGGTGGTTTCTGGTGGTGGTTATGAAGACTCTGCCAGGAGCTATGTGGATATTAGCCATGCGCAATCAGAGGCAAATGAATGAAAGTTTTTTTTGGTGCAAACCTGGAGAGCCAAGGAGTTTTTTTAGATGAGTGACCAGGCCATTGAAAAGAGGAAGTATTGAGAAAGGTAGGACTCCAGGATAAGCTTGTTTGCCTGTGCATGTTGGCAACTACCATAGCTGCTCAGCTGCAGGTTTGGACGTAAGGGTTTCATCCATATTCACTGAAATAAAAGCTGGATTTCTGTTCGGCTTCTAGGGTTGGGTAGCAACCAGGGCACTCTTGGGGCTGTCCCACTGCCACCCGAGCTGCTGGAAGTGCCAGTTCTCCTTGCAGGTGACAGCTATGACTGCAGGTGGGTACAAATGCTCCCAAATGCCAACCAATTCTCAGTCCCCAAGAGTCCTCTTTCTACCTGAGCATCACAAAGTGCTCCACAGACCTTAAGAGAAACAGCCTCAAGGACTTTTTCCCATCAGGAAGCATGTTAGATGTCTTTGTCAGGCTCTCACACATAAAACCAGTGTGGCATAGGCTGCAGGTTGCTTAAATCCCCAATGATAATGCATCTCCCTGCTTCCCTGGCAAGTCCCTGTCACTGAACATCAGGACCTCTTTGCCTTTCAGACATCCAACCGGCTGCTGCTGCTCCCTGCATGATCAAAATCCTGTTTGATATGGTCCCCTTGCTGGTGTTATTTATAACAGCTCTTTGCTTTGCCCAAACTGTTTTTTTTTTTTTACATTTTTTTTTCTTCAAGTACTGTGAGGGTCTTCGGTGTGACAGGTGCTGCTCAACATTAATTGTTTGCCCTGAAATGATGCTCTCATCTAGCGATTCTCAGGTACATCAGTTGTTCCATCAGGGCTGTCCCTTCCCATAGGCTTTCAGAGAGCACCACACTTTAATCGCTCACAGCCAACACTTCTTCTCTCTTTGCTCCCCCCACCACAAGCTGGTTTCTGCTTGCCAAGGCCCGCACACCAATACCTCCCCCTTTTGTCTGCCACAGACAAAGGGCTACTGAGTGCTACTCCGAGGCTCATTAAAGTTCACGGCATTGCTTAATTTTTTATTATTTTTTTTCAAGTTACCATGTCAAATGTGCTTAGCAGGGTTGCTGGCTCGCTGCAGTGGTGCACAGTTTGGGTGTCTGTGTGCTTGGCCATGCTCCTGCTGATTGGGGAAGTGTCTGGAGGGGCCTTTGGATGGAAATCCCTTGGCCTGCCTGAGCAATGCTGGGGGTTTTCGTGTTTCCATGAAGCCTTGGGATGGCCTCTGTACTGCCAGGCAAACACCTCTTTCCCACCAAAGGGTAGAAATGCAGCAGCAAACACTCGGTGTGAGATTTGGCTGTCTTACAGGAGCAGATTTACTGCTGGGGATTAAATGGGCCTTTGCCATTCCTCTCCATTAATGCCATCCAGCACATGGCTGGTGTCACAAGACGACGTGGACAGCCCTGCCCTCTTTGCAGCTTTGACATCCTGCTCATCCGCTTCTTCAGAAGCCAAGCTGGTTACTCAGTCATGAATTCAAGCTCTTTGGTCTGATCTGACTGCGTGTGGTGTAAACACATTGTAAAAAGTGCATACTGACTCAAAACAGCCCTACACACAACAAAGATTTGGGTTAGTCTGCCCTGCAAGGACCGTCCTGCAAATCATGGTCTGCCACTTTTCAGCTGATGCAGTGTGATGTTGTCTCAGCTCCTCTGCCCTTGGGATCCTGAACTTCCAGCGCAGCAGGAAATGTTTTTGGTCCCACACCGGTGACAAGATCTGCCTCGTACACTCGTGTCTGCCTTGTGGGAGCTGGCCAAGCTATTCTGCAACAGGCAACCCATATCAGATTTGGGTTGACCTGACTCTTGGCTTTGCTCTGCTCTGGGGTTTGTACTAGGAGCTAGCCAAAGGCAGAGGGGAAAGGTGGGATATTTTTGCATAGTTATACAACTTAAAAGAAGACCTAATAAAGTAAGAAATCGTGTACATAAATGGTATAAACTAGTGCATTTTCCCCCTTTTTTTCCTTGCTCTGTTCAGGAGCTATTTGGCTTTGTGTGTCCTGAGCTCGTGCATGTGTCCAACACCGCCTGGCTGAAGTCTCCCTGGGCTCTGTGTTTGTCTTGTAGCACGACAGGGTGGTGGCTCCCTCCGAGTCCCTCTGGCTCTGCTTACAGAGCCACGTGAGACAACGATAATTTTTCCCTCATGCCTTCATGATGCAAAGGAAATGCTGCTGGCCACTTCTCCTTGCAACCCATTTAACTGACTTTTAATGACGAACAGACCTTCCACTGGCAGTAATTAATGCTCACTTAGCCTTTAGCACTCGGGGACTCAACAGCCTAGGAAGAGTTCATGTCCGAGAGCACCAACCCAGTGCACCTGGGCAGGATGGTGGGAGTAACCACAGAGGTGAGCAGAACTTGGAGTTATTTTCATTTTTGGGGGTGTTGGTTAGTTCTAGTCTGTTTGCTAGTCCTTCTGCTCCACTCTTTGCTTCCAAAAACTTTGCTACACTTCTCATCAGTGTTACTCTGAGCATTCATCACTGTGTTGTCTGCTTCTGTCTGTGGCTGAGGTGGCTTCCAGGGGCTTCCCTGGGACTTTCCTTTGCCATTAGGAAGGGTGAAGCTGGGCAGAGTGCTGTGTGTTCAGTGGCTCCAAGGAGCTGATGTGCAATTCTCTCATTGCAAACAAAAATTTCTCGCTTTTCCTTTGCTGAGAAAGAGCACCCTCCATTCTCGGATACTGTCCACTGCCAAAGGTGCATTGTCTAGTTCAGCAGAGCTTCTGTCGTGCCCTTTCCTGCCTTTGCTGTGCTTTATGTGAGGGAAAAGGGCTCGTTGTTTTTATGAGTTCAAATTATATAGGTGCAATTTTACACTGTGGTAATTGTGCTGACCTAGGTATGATTGCTGATTTCTAGCTCTGTGAATGGAGAATTGGGTCTACAGGAGGTGTAGGATTTTTTTTTTTTTTTTGAAAGAAACCTCCCTCAGAAGAAATTGGTTTTAGTTTTAGGAAGGATTTTATTTTATTTATTTTATTTTATTTTTTAATTAAATCCAGAGGCTTTTGGAAATTCTTTGTCATTGCAGGCCACAAAGCTGCATTTTCTTCATGTTGCTGAAGCAAGAAATCCAAAGGAAGCAACTACTATCCAAGTACTGCAGCTAATGGCCCATGTTAACAAGCGGTCCTGGCAGAAGGTGAACACAGGGAAATGGGTGGAAAATCAAAACGGAAATGAAAGAGATTGTTATCAGTAGGATAAAAAAAAACAAAAACAAAAAAACCTGAGAAGGACATCTCCCTTTTTCTTATGTGCTGGTGCTAAGGATCTCATCACCGTGTGCTGAGGTAACCACTCCATGTAAAGTATATTCATGGCTACCACTGAATTTTGTATGGATTTATCCTAAAAGCATTTCTGTTTCATGGTTTTATAGCATTTTAGTGGTGGGAAGTTGGAGCTTATGAGACTAAAGCTCAAGCTTACTCAGGTCACATAAGAAGTCGGGGAGGAGCGATTTCCCATGCCCTAGGCTGGTTGAATTATTTCTCCTTTCTGTTGCAGAGCTCCTAATTCCAGAAATACAGAAAGAGAGTTTTTACTATGGGGATTTACATAGGAAAACACTTTGGGAGTGGTCTGGGAAGTCCTGAATCCTGTGCAAGTTACAGTGTCTCCAGGAGAGAGGGGCACACAGCCAGATAGCATGTAGGGCACTGGGAAGCCTCAGGTTTACTCTCAGGCTCTCCCACAAGCTTGCCCTGGGACTTCAGACAAACGTCTTAACTTCCTTTAGTTTTGTCTTTTTCATCTGCAAAAACACATAAAACGGCTTACCTGTTTTACTTGAAAAGTGATGGGTTCCTACTTTAAACATTTGGAACTGTTGATGCTAAGCTTTGTTAAAAAGCTATTGAAGGAAAAAAAAAAAAAGAAAAGAGAGAGAGAGAGAGAGAAAAAAATCACCTAACCTGTAGCTACCCATTTGTATGATGATTGACCTAATTTTGCATTTCTAGGAAAATTTGTTCTAGAAGATCTTGGGATGGAAACAATGGAAAACCTTATGTGGTTCTGCCACAGGAGGCGATAGACCAGACCGTGTACCTGGCTACACAATGCACTTATATATTTAGATTGAAAATATCACCTCTGCCTGTACCCTTGCCCACCTCATGTGATTTGACCATCAGTGTTACAACTGAATCCCTGCTGGTATTGCCTTTGCACAGAGCCAATTGCCTGCCATCATCCTGTCAGGCACTTACACCTAGTTCTCCTAATGTAATTTATATTAAGCCAATTTATATTCTACAACGAGTGCCTGATGGAGAAGGTGCCCACAGGAGACTCATGTGCTGTTTTCTCTCAATGGTATTTAGCTGATCTGCTGACAGGAATTACCTCTCCCGATAGGATTTGATTCATTTGCATCCTCAGACAATCAAAGCTGATGCAACACAGTCACTCCAAGAACAACCCCTGTTTTTCAGGGATTGCTTTGCTGTCCTCCCTGTGGGATACAGGATAACCTGTATCTATAACCTGGTCCTCCAGAAGCCCCCCAAATGCTCTCCTGTGGCCTCAGATCAGTTCCTGTGGAGATGCATTTGCATTTCTATTTATTTTAGTTCTCATTGCATTTGCTTCTCTTTCTCTATTGAAGCTTTCTCCATCTCTGTCCATCTGGTTTACAGAAACATAAAAACAATAATGTAAATAACAATATGAACAAACAGGACACGTGAAAGTTGCCCAGCGGCCTGTAGTGCTTTCCTTTCACAGTCTGTCAGCAACAGACCCAAGCCCAGTTAGGATTTTTGCCTACACGAGTTATTTGCCACTGGAACTATGCTGTTAGAAAACCAACCTTATACAAGCCCCGCCAAATCCTGTTAAGTTTTTGTCTCTGTAGTTCAGCTTCTTCACTTATTTTTCGTATTTCTTTACATCTCTGGGATCTATACAGTGCTTTGCTTGCTGGGTGCTTTGGGAGTACTAGCAATGGGCCAGCAGACAATCCGAAAATAGCTATAAGCAGCTTCAGGTCGTCTGGAGGGGTCAGGAGGGAGTGTGTAACATGGCCAATACATTTACTGGAGAGGAATGTGGAGAGGTGTTGAAATCTGGTGGCTAATATGGGGGCAGAGGAGGCATTAATCCCCTCATTCTCCTCTCAGCCCCTATTATGTCCCTGCCAGGCTACTGATATAAGCTTGCATTCACAGACAGTCCCATCAGGTAGGCCTGCAACATCTCTTACAGAGCAAGCATGAGGGATCCCCATCCCTTCCTTGCTCGTGTGCAGGAGCTGAACACCTGCCTCTTCTGCCTGGTACCCTCTGCAATTAGGTGATTCCTGAGGCAAATCATAGAGCCACAGAAAGGTTTGGGTTGGAAGGGACCTCAAAGATTACCTAACTCCAACCCCCTGCCATGGGCAGGGATGCCACTCACTAGATCATGTTGGCCAAGGCCCCATCCAGCCCATGTTGGCCAAGGCCCCATCCAGCCCGGCCTTGAACACCTGCAGGGATGGGGCATCCACAACAAACGTCCCCCACGGCCTGGTTCCTGCCCTGAGAGACCCATTACATCCCCTTGCCACCACTCCAAACCCCTGCTGGAAGGCACTGCCCCTCAAACCAGCTGTAACACGTCTGCTGGTTGAATTCAGCTGGACGCGACTTCCCCATGTCCCGCAGGCTGCCGCGAGGGCCCGCCAGCCCAGGGAGAAGCTTCAACAGCTTCTTTCTCTGTTGACCTATTTTCTGGGTGACATTTTCTGCTTCCCCTTATTGTTCTCCACCGAGACTGCAGCATGACAACCTCGGGGCACTGAGGGCCCTCAGATCCTGCCGGCCAGCACAAGCCCACCAGCCCTGGGCTCCTGGCCTGCTCCTACAACACTGCTGATTTCCCCCTTCCACAGGTCAGCCTGTGCTGCATGGCAGGGATAGAGAACACCGTACGAAGCCCAGGCCAGCACTTAAGCCAGAGATGTACCCTTTATTTTATTTTATTTTTCCTTAGTGGCTTTTATTTAATGCGCTGTAGAGTTTTCCAGGCTTTGGCTCCCGGCCTTCCTAAAATAATTATGCGACTTTGAAAAAACAATTCATTTTTTCACCACTTCTCCAGTGCTGCCAGCTTTTTGTGGCTTTATAGAAAATCTTGCGCTATTTGGTGTTTTGCCTGAAGTTCCATGCGATTAATCAAAGAAGCTCAAGCCTTCACTGAGAAATACATCCTTAGCTCAGAAGTGGGAGGATCCAGTCTCTGAGCCCAAAACTTTGAGACAGCCACCACGTGTACACGGTGTCCTCTCCATATTTCCTGCAGGCTCCCTTCCTGCAAGGTGTAGCCCACCAGCACGCCCCAAGTACCAAGGCAGGGGCGCAGGCAGCCCCACCAGCGGTGTGAAACAACAATTTTCATTGTCGTGGTCCGCAGGGCTCCTGTGAATTAGCACAATGAGACATTTAGCAGCACAATGAGACATTTACTGGAGGGCCGATGGGGCGCTGGCCGTCCCCCCCCATGCACGTTAGCTGCAGCTGGCGTGGCACGTGCTGCCCCATCACAAAACACACGCCTGCAGCTGCACATCCCCCCCACCCCGATCACATCAGGGCCAGCTCTGCCCTCCCTCACCATGCTTAGGAGTAGAAATAAATATATAATGCACCAGAGGAAAGATTAAGCCTTTCAAAAGGAAGTAAATTATTTGAATGAAAGTATTTCTAGGAAGTGATTTTATCGCTCTGAAATTTTATCCATCCTTTGAAAAATAAACAACCTCGGTAACTACTTTTTCAGGCTACGTTTTGCTGGCAAGTTTTATCTGCAGAAAGGATTAGCTTATCCGTGGATGGGACGTGCTGCACACACCCTGTTCCCATGCAGATTTGTGCGGAGCGGAGCTGCCTTTCCAGCTCCGCGCTAGGACATTTTTATGTAGCTAAATCAGATGACTGCAAAGACCATTAGAGCAGTTTATCGTTGGAATCTGCAGGAACATACTGTACCCGAAAGGAAAATGCTCACTGATAGGGGAAGTGCAAGATCTGCGATCCTTGTAATTATGCAGATGATCTTCTCCAGAGGTCTGTGGTATGTGAGCAAGTCCACAGCAAAGGCTTCTGGCAGCAGCACTTTAATAGCCCACTGAAATCCCACTGCTCCGGCTCTCAATCCACTTGGCCGCAGCCCTGCCTGGCACATTATTGTGGATGGTTTTGTTTCTCGCTGGGGACGTTACAATTGTGACATCCAAAAGGCTCTCTGGACTTAAAGTGCTGCTCATCCTGGGCAATTTCACAGATGTTTGCACCTTGCAGCTCACCAGTGGTGGAGATGCTGGACAAACAGGGATGAATGACTTTCAGAGCAAGATGCCACCATCACCAGCACAGACTGGTGGTGTGAAGGTCTGTTACTTCCTCCAAAGATACTCACTCAACACCTGGTCCAAGGAATAAATACCAATAAATGCAATTTATATGCAATAAATACCTCAGCAAAAAGAAACTCCTCTCCTCCCACAGCAGAGTTTCAGCTCCATATGAAACCAGGTGTGAGACTGGCATGTTCCCCAGCATGGAACAAGACTCACATGCTAAGAACATGGAAGGCTCCAGGCAGGAAAACTGCCTGGTGATATTTGCACTGTAATTTCTTATAGGGGCATTGCAGACATCTGAAATAATTGGGAACCTGAAGAGGTTCTCCTTAAGGGACTGAGAACACATCAGTAGTGCGATGGGCACAACAGAGGTGCAAAATGCTGCAGTCTTTGCTGCTGGTGTCCTGCCTTGCCAGGTGAAAGCCGTCCTCCTCCCAGAAACATTCATCCAATAAAAAACATGTCCTTGCCAGAGATCCCAAAGCATCCTAATGTTGCAGGGCTGTACAGCTCTTGTGACCCCAGGACAGCTTCTCAGTGCAGAATGCAATCCCTGCACCTTCCAATTGATCAGAAAAAGCAGGACTTTAATCACAAATATGCAGTGGAGAGTATGATACAAAGGACACAGTGTCTGCTTCTAACCTCTGAGAGTTTATTGCGGAGGTTTTAGGAAGGACTAGCTGGGATTTGGGCTCGGCATTTAGAACATGGTCCTGCCAGCCCTGCTGCCCCTGTTGGGACCTGGTAGTGCTGGATTGTGCTGTACCCATCCCCAGCAAGACCCAGCTCCTTCCCCATTAACCCTGGTGCTCAGAGTAAGGAAGATGGGAGAAGGGAGTAAGGAAGCTGTTGTTCCAGTTTTCCTGATAAGGACCTAGAGGGAGCGGAGAAAAAGTGTTCTGCACAAGGACAAGTGTTTAAAATCTGGGAAACAAGCCTGAACCTCTTGACTCTTAGTGCCCTTTCCTCTTTGGCTGTAGCCTGACACACTTTTCCAGTCTCCGGGAGCTGAGGCTTCCTATCTCCAGGGCAGAGGACAGCCAGGCTGACGCAGAACGGAGCTTTGGTGCTGGCTCTTGAAAGAGCTCATGGGACGTTTTTTGATATGACCCACACACATGGCTGGGCATGCCACGTGAACTGCAACGGGCTGGCAGATTTGGTAGGGAAATGGCCTGGAGTGGCTTCTGGAAAAATTATAAAAACCCACTGCGAGCAGAGCTGTGCACCCCAAGCTCTGCATTTCCAGTCCATTTGGGACCAATATGAGTTCACCCACACATCTAATAGCTACAGGGGGTGCAAATGAAAATTGCAGAGGGAGAATTTAAGTATCTGGGCATGTTCAAGGGGTAGCACATCAAGTGCTAATTGCCTGTTGCCCAGTAGCATTACAGGGAGCCAGAACAGAGAGGGCAGGGACCTTCTGCAGTGCCAAGTCCCAGACAGAGAACCAGATACATCCCATTCCCACAGCATATTATAAAATTGCAACAGACAGCTGCGAGGCAAGAATGAAGGCTGTCATGCAAAAGCATGGTTGGAAGGCAAGTTGCTGAAGGGATAGGTGGATGTTCAGGGCAGAAACAAGCAGTTATTGGCAGGATGCGGCCCTTGAATGTGGTTTATCTGCCAACAGGCAGATTTATGTAAGAAAAAGCTTAGCTGAGCTAATCCCACTGCTGGAAGCCTACAAGAAGAAGAGCCGCCCATACAGGAGCGAGATGTGAACCTATGGAAACGCACTTAATGAAGATGAAATATTTTCTTATATCTTGGGGGACGTTTCTGTTAAGGTGTTCAGTTTGGCAGCATCACTGAACCTCGAGTTGCTTAACCTCAGGACCACAGGATGGGGACTCAGGCACCCCATGGACTTGCTTGAATGGGTAATCCTGTGATGGATCAGCAGCCCCTCACCAACGTGGGGGCTCTGCTCTTCTCGTGCTGCAGATTCCTGTGCCCAAAGCACAGAAACATATATATTTGCCTATGTATGTATATATGCCCGAGCATATAAGAAGTCAAACAAAGCATTACAAATGTACAGTGAAGAAATAACAATCTGCCTTCTTTGATTAAACAGCCTGATTTACTGGGCTAAACAATAGGTTTATTGCTCTGTGCTACGTAATTGTTATTAGAGGATGCATCTGGTCTCTGAGTAGAAATGAACTTTTGTGAAGCTAACGCATTCCAAAATAGGAGGAAGAAAGTGACTGTCAAACCAGGTCTATATAAAAAAAAATAGCTGGAAAAGCCAAATAAATTGTGAATGATATATACTTAAAAAGGTTGTAGGAGAGAGTGGTTCTTTGATATTCTAGTGGCCAAACTATGACATTTATAGCTCTCCTCCTGACTGCCCACTGGTAGTTTTCCTTTTCTGCTGAGCACCAGTGTCCACTACAATACTTAAAGAATTTACTACTTTTATTTTTATTTTATTTTTCCCCCAGATTCGGTGTCACTTTTGAGCTTGCTGGAGGTGTCCAAAGCTTGCAAAAATAATGAATTCTGCTAAGTACCTGGGCAAATGTCCAGGGCAGAAAGTCGATCTCCAGCCTGCATGAGCTAAAAGGTGGCCCTGGGTGGGAAGAGGAGCATCCGGAGGGGGGCACAGCTCCTGCTCCTCAGGCTGTGCTGCTTAATGTGGAACCAGGGACTCAGCAACGTTGTCTCATGGCTGTCAGCACTTATCGCTGTCACAAACAGGGGGAAAAACAACAAGCAAGCCCACAACAGTGTTAAGGAGATTAAAAGGACTGAGTGGTGAGACCTCACTTGGGTCTTTCTCAGTTTTTTAATGAGGCATAAAAAGGGCCTTTGAAGGTGGGTTATTTATTTTACTTTTTTTTTTTTTTTTTTTTCTTTTTTCCTGCTTGTTTTGCTACATTAGAAATTTAGATTGCCCTTGCTTTCCCAGGAAGACTCGAGTGGTGAATGACTTCCAGCAGCACAGGAGCTTTGCAGCCACCAGCAACATCCTTCGGCCTGCCAATGGCCACGGCACCCAAGTGGCTGCCGTCCTCATCGTCCTCATGTATAGAAAACACCTAAGGGCAGCATTTTTGTTGGTGAAGAGCAACTTTCACCTCTCATCTTGCGACATCCTCAAAGGAGGTCAGGTTTTTGGAACTGATGAACACGCATGCCATGGAAGAAGTCAAGTCGCACTGAGGTTCTTCAATATGGCAGCGATAAATTAAACCTTTCCACACAAATAAGCTAAATAAAGCTCGGATAAGTTACAAAATTCACCTTTCTCTTTGGAATATTTTACTCTTAATACACTCTTAGCCTGGGAGAAACACAGGACCTCCTAGAGCTGTAGGATTATTTGTATGCGAGCTGTAGTTAGGGGAAGAGATTGAACAGTGAGGTCTAGAATAAAAAGTTTGTGCCATTTAAAAAAATATCCACCCTCACATGTCCAGATGCTTCAACTGCAGAAGGCTACATCACTGAGGAAGAGGGGAGCTGCTAAGGCTGGTTTGCTTCTTACACGGGATGGGGCTTTCAAGCTGCCACACTCATGTCTGCCTCCTACCAAACTGTACCGTCACATCCAGGCATGCAAGAAAATGTGAGTCACATCCCTTCAAAATTAGGAAATGGGTTTTAAAAAGTACCCATTTTCTGAAAAAAAAAAGAAAAAAAAGAAAAAAAAAAAGAACTGATTTATTTATTTTTCTCTCTGTATCTGTCAGAGTCACAGCTTTGGAGGAAAAAAGTTAAAATGTTAAGGAATATCAAATGTAAGACTTTTATGTAATCCCGTGATCCAAGATGATGATGTCTTATGAGATCCGTCACGCTGTGATACTTGCACTTAATTTGTGAGGTTTAGAGGCTGGAAACTGGATACACGATTGTCTTATAAAAATGCAAACAAATCAAAAAGGTCTTCAGCTTTTCTTCAAGCAACAAAAAGCTTAATAAAGAAAAGATGTTAATACAAAACTGCTGCATTTCTGTCTTGCTCTGCTTCTTATACCAGCCTCCATAAGTTTCTAGTTTCCCCTATTGAAATAAAATTAAAAAAAATGTAGAGGGATTTTTTTTAACTTCTTCCCTAAGTCTCCCCTCTTCTTCCCTTTTCTATGTGAATGGGTGGAGGGGACAGCAGGACAGAGCAGCCCCAGCTCCTACTGATGGGTGTCGCACCTACAGAAAGCAAAAAGCACAAGGCTGGAGCTCTATCCCCAGCTAACGCAGTGGGTTGCCTTAGGCACTGCGCTAAATACATTAAGCACTGATGAATATACATATCGGAAGATTAAATCTACTTCCTAATGGAACTTCTCACTGGTAACCTTTTCTTCTCGTGCCTTTGAACTCGACAGCTGAACTACTGCTTTGGGGTGGAACGGCTTCCTGAGTCACAATACTTAGGGTAAGTTCATCATCAAAAGGTTAAAGAAAATGCGCAGCATCCAAAAAATAGATTTGGTGAATGAAACCAGTGAAACCAATTTCCATAAAGCACCCTCAAATTTAGGTCTTGATCTAGGAATTTGTTTAAGACATAAATTTTTCTCCCTGGAAACCCTGTTACAGGCAGGGGGACTTCATACAGGGGAAAATACAGTACAAGACTGTCCCTTTTCTTGATGGTACAGAAGTAGTTTGAAACCTATTTCCAGCCTGGCTGAAGACTCTAGAAGAGCTGGGCTCCAGCTGCAGGTCCTCATCCACCTGCCAAATGTCGCAGTGCTACATCCCCAGCTCACTTTATCTCTAAAGCAAAAAAAAAAGAAGATGCTGTTGCAGTCTTTTGGCAAAAAGCAGCAGCTTTGTGATCTGGCGTTACAGGGCTATTTCTCCATCCAAAGATCTGGCAGCAGAGGCCCCCATCTGAAGACATCCTTCCAGTGCAGCAGTTTGGGTGGAAACACCAAAGCCAGCCTGTTCATATTGTTTAGCTTCAGGTAGGGCCAGAAGCTGGTGGTGCCCGTTGAGCATCCTGTAATGCTGGGCACATCCAAACCGGCTCAGGAGGATGCGTTGCCACAACCACTTCTTGGGATTTTAGTATGAAATGTGAGAAAACTGTCAAAGCAAACAGCTCCTTTGGCAGCCTCCTAACCCCTCTGGCCCTTGGCCTTGCCTCTGGAGCAGGGCCAGCTGAAGGGGCCCATCCCACAGCTTCTCCCAGGGCATTTCGGGGAGTACCAGCTGCATCCTGCTGGGTCTGCTGATGGATGAGAGCCGGACTGCCCAGATGCCTCTGTCCTTAAAAAGGGTGCACCACCACAAGGATGAATCCTAGGGGTTTATGCAGCACCTCCCCTAATGCCAATGGAGGTGACAGCAATTTGGCTGCGGAAAGCTGGAAGCCAGGACAATAAAACAGGATTATTTTTTTTTTTTTGAGGTAGTAAAGCTCTTTTTTTTTTTTTTTTTTTTTTTTTTTTAATTGCCAATAAATAGGAGAACTGTGGGGTTTTAAAAGTAGGAAGATGAGAGGATGAGTCAGACAGTTGCTGACCGCAGCTTTGCCTGCAAACTGGGGAAATGCAAAGAGAATAATTTCTGCGCTATAGAAATGTCTAATTATCATCTGCCATCTCAAATGCCTCCAACAAGAAACTCCTGCAGAGACCTTTGAAGCTATTTTAATGCGGAAAGTAGGAAAATACTCTGTCAAACTGAACCAAGATGCAGAATGTGATCACATAAATCCAGCGTCTTGGAGCACAGCCCAGATGTTTCTGACTTTGTTGGTTTTTGCTGCAGTTTAGCAATTCAGCAGAATCACGTTTGCAGCCCCGGATCTACTGGTTTTGGTAGCGATGTGACTTGAACTAATCGCTTATGTAAATAAACGTTTAAAAACCTACAGGAAGGCCGAGGCAAGTGCGAAGAAAAATAATTACAATTAACTTCCAGTAATATATTAGGGGGTTGCAAATTATTATTATTTTTCCAATTCACCGAGGCTTTATTTTTAGAGGGGATAAAAAGCTGCTAAGCCTTCAATTCCTGACATTTCTCTTTGGAGTGAGAACAGAGCGATAGCAATTAACGGGGAGGTCTCAGGCATTGCCAATGGGCTGAGGCTTGTCCGGGCATTTTCATCTTTCATCCCCCTAAGAGAAAGAGGAATTTGTGCAAAGCCGTGCAAAGATAATTATTGGGAATGAAAAGAAGAACGGCATCGTTACGGCTTCAGAAAAAATAAAAGGGCTCACACCCAAGTATCGTGACCGCTTTGGGAGACTTATATCTGGTGATACATTAACTTAATTAATTTACTGCATGCTGTTTTTGGGGACGGCTGTGTGCCCTGTACCTGAAGGCATCCTGCACACCCTGATGGGACAAGAGGATGCGTGTGTGTGTCCATGGGCATCCCAGGTGCTAGGAGGTGTCTGCTGTCCACAGCCTTCCCCGTCTCACCCTTGGAGGATGAGCATGAGCTCATCCAGCTCCCTGAGCCCACCGCTGCCCGGAAAACCGGCGGAAAACCTTCCAGCTGGTGGGTGGATGGGGGCTCGCTTCAGACCTTTTAAGAAGCTGTTTGTCATGTTCTTAGGAAGCGGGCTGATAACGCCTCCCATGGGACAGCCGTCATCGCCTTCCCCGCTGGCAGCGGCGCTGGAAAGAGTTGCGAAAGAGCCGTAGGTGCAGAAGCCCCGAAAATGAGTCTCATCAAAAGTTATCCTTGGTGGGACGGAGCTTCTTGCCTTGAAATATCATTTAAATTCGGCATCTCCGGTCAAAAGGAGAGAGCAAAGAGGAGCTTAGGAATGTTTATTAAATAAAGCCGGGTTTTAAATCCGTATTATTGTTGCAGGACACAATGGTCGTTACTGTTTTCGCTGGTAAGTGCCAGCGTGATTTAAAGCTGCTGACAGCACCAGACGCTCACAATGAAATCATCTCTCCCTCTCCTCCGCACGGCTCGGGCAGACACTCATTTGTATGTATGGGTTCAGCCTGTCTGCTGCGTCTGGCCAGAGCGACAGATACTAATGGCATATGTTAATTACAACCCAACAACTTCCTTTCATTGGGGTGTTTATTGACAGCCTCACTTCAGCCCATCGAGGCAGCTGGCGCGGGATGCTGGGGCTGCTCGGGGTCACGGGATCTCCTCCATTCGGGCCTGGGATCTTGCACCACATCGCTCCGTTGGGCAGAGAATCCAGCATCCCATAGGAGGTTTTGGGGTTTTTCCTCCCCTCTCTTTTCCTAAGGTCGCAGAGGGGTTGGAGAGGAAATGGGGGCTTGGGAGGAAATTCTCTTCGTGGCCGCCAGTCTCCTGACTGCTCCGGGTGCAAACGGGGTTCAAATAGCTGGAAAATAACTCGATAAGTTGGAATTTAGGGGGAAACTGATGAATGCAGCCAAACAGGGTTTGACAGGAACAAGAGGTACTGTTGTGTCATGCAGAGCCAGGACACGGAGACCCTAGTGTCCAATTTTTGAGCACAATCAGAGACAAATATTTCAAAGGCAAAAAGCAAGAAATATTCAAAGCGACAATTAGGGATTAATATTTCAGGTGAAGTTTCCTTATCTCTCCCTTAACAAATGGTTTCCTGACATCGGAAAAATGAGAGAAAAAATTACTTTTTAAGAAAGAAAGGACATCATATTCTCATTTCTAAACCTCTCATCCTTATTGAAGAGCATCTATCCCAACGTTTTCTTATGGCATGGTGGTCCAAGGTGGTCTGTTGATTATACATCGTACTTAAAAAGATACTCAAATCATGTTTCAGTTTGCTGTACTTGAATTTCATGCAGTTTAAATAAAACTGCATAATTATAAATAATACCTCTACATTGGCCAGGGGTCACAGCCAATGGAGCAGAGCTCCTACAGCCAGGTTCTGTAGACACATGGAGCAAACCCACCACAATCAAGAAGTGAAACAAACCCAGATGCAGGACCACATGGAGACAGAACTGAGCAGTGCCAGCAGCCTGTTGCCTGCTGCCTTTTACAAAAATTGCGTTACTGAAAGGACATTTTCAGTTTTTGGTTTATAGGACATAGCTGCATGGATGATGGGAAGCTTTGAGGCAGCATGAAAGAAAAATATGAGTCTCAGCTTTTGTTTTTCGACTGGTTTTGATTAGCGTCAAGCCCTGTGTGAGGTATGCATGAGTGTGCCTCTCAGTGTGCATCAGGCTGCATTTGGCATTTGGGGACTTCACTTAACGCTGTGCTGCTCTGGTGACTACGAGTTGTTAAGTCCCTGCATAATTCCCTACAGCCTTCACTCATCTGGAAGCAAAGCGTAATTAGCAGTTTTTGCCAACTCACTATTTAACTCTTTTATGGCCCCCTGTGTGTGTGTGCTTGTGTATGCTGTTCATTCACAAATATCCAAGCCAAAATGCTACATCTGCTTGAATTTGCTGAGATGTGCAAAGAGTTATAGCAGATTAGTGAAATCCAGCTGTCATGGAATCACAGAACCACAGAACCATTAAGGCTGGAAAAGCCCTCCAAGATCACCTGGTCCAACCATCCCCCTACAACCACCATCACCCACTAAACCACATCCCCAAGCACCACGTCCAAACTCTCCTTGAACACCCCCAGGGACGGTGACCCCACCACCTCCCTGGGCTACCCGTCCCAGTGCCTGACTGCTCTTTCTGAGCAGAAATGTCTCCTCACTGCCAACCTGAACCTCCCCTGGCACAACTTGAGGCCATTCCCTCTGGTCCTGTCACTGGTTACCTGTGAGCAGAGGCCGATCCCCAGCTCCCCACCCCTTCCTTTCAGGTAGCTGCAGAGAGCAATGAGGTCTCCCCTGAGCCTCCTCTTCTCCAGACTAACACCCCCAGATCCTTTCTGTCCGTACAGCTTTCCAGCCACTCTGCCCCAAGCCTGTAGTGTTGCATGGGGTTGTTGTAGCTAAAGTGCAGGACCCGCGTTAAGGACCTGTCCTTCCCACACAGCTATTTTCTCTTCTTCCTTCTCTATCTCTAGTTTACCTTCTTGGTTTTAAATATTTTAGCTCCTGGTCTGACCAATTTTGTTGCACTACATTTATAAAATAAAATAATAATAAAAAAATAATAAAAAACTTACTTGAAGCATGGAGGTTATAACAATGGCCAGCTGAAGAAGAGTGTCTATCTTATGTCAGTAGTTCATTGTCAAATTGCAGTGACTCACTTGACGCATCCCATTTGGCCCCAGAGGCTGTTACTGTTCAGCTCAGCATCGCTCAGTGGGGGCATCTATAGGGTAGAGCCAGACCAGGAGATGCTTCTGTGTGGCCTGCAACATGTAGGGGAGATGGAGAATGGCTCATCACCCTCTCACATGAGGGCATACTCTGCCCATGCAGGGCCACTTGTGCCTTGTTTCTGCTTTGTGTGGACCTAGGGCAGAGCTGGAAGGGGTTACCCATGGTCCTCAAAAGGACTGTAAAAGTCTTTTCTGGGATGACTAATCCTGAACAGCAGAATAAACAATTTTTTTCATCATTTGCATCCAGCAAAATCCCCACACACAATCACTTGTCACAGACACCAAACACAGGCCAGGAAGCATGTCAGATGAGCAAGGGTGCCTGGTTTAACAGCCTCTGGTGAGAATGACTTTGTTTCTCATTCAAAGACAAGACATTTAATTATCTGGTCATACATTGTTCTCACTCCCCATGCTACTGGGCTGATGGAACATTTTAGTTATTTATTGAGATGCGGGAAAGCCAAACCTCTTGAATACTACAGCAATGGGGAGTTTGCATGCATTCTACTACTCCTCTGTATCTTATAAAACAAAAGGGACTGCCCACAAGACGGAGGAAAAACAATTACTTTCAAGATGAGACAAGCACAGTAGATGCTGAACTATAACAACCATATAACCAGGATGTGCACGTGGGTTTAGGTTTTAATGAGAGTTTACAAAAAGGGCTAAATCCTGTCATTACCCCAGCACAAGGGCAATCGTGTCAGCTGCACATCCCCACGGGCAATTGTGTGTTGAAGTGATTGTTTCAGTGCTCTGTGGTCTTGGCTCTATTTTTATGTTAAAGGAAATGATAAAGGAAGAGCAGGAACATCCTCAGATGCCTTGTGCTGTGTTCTGCAGGACTGTGCCCTGTCCTAGAGTGCTTCATAGTGCTGAACCATCCTGTGTGTGAGTCTCCTGCCGGGCAATCCCAGCTGTTACACACACAGCTGTCCGTGTTTGTGCCTACGTACAGAGTCCCGACGTACATAACCACCAGCCACTCTGAGGAGTCTCCTCCCTCCCTGAAGTTATATCCTTTGTGTGCACCCATCGAGAAATCACCATGTGTGTTTTTTCAAGGGGACCTGGCAGGCTGGAAGAAGCAATGCCAGAGGAACTGGTAAGAGTTTGGCATGGGCCATGGAAGAGGGAACGCAATGGATGAAGCAGCCGTGGCCCATCTTCCCAGCAAAGCGTGGTGGCTTTTCAGTTGTCTTGTCACCTCGGTGTTGGCCAGGGTCCTCGCAGGCCCCAGGTGGAGCCAAACGCTCTCATCACCAGAAGATGCTGCTTCTGCAGAAGCTCTCTGGGCAGCCGCCTCTGCCTTCAGAAATGCTCTCCATCATGACCCCGCGCTCCCAGGGGATGGCCTTTGAGGCAGAACTTCAGATGTTGTTTTCCAGCCTGAAAGCCTGAGCATTTTGAGGCTCGTTACCCACAGACCTCTTTTCTTTCCTCCTTCCTGCTCCGTGTATGAAACAAGCAAGGATTGGAACAGCCATGAGGCTGAGTTGCCAGTAAAAACATCCCCCCTAAATCCTAAAGGATTTGGGATATTTTCCTCCGGACTTCTAAGACCCTCCAAAGCACAGTGATTGTAGCAGCCTCTGAAATAAACGCTGTGGGCCGGGAAGTCTTGAATCAGGAACAGGAAGCACTGGCTGAACTGATAACCAAAATGCTACTTTAAAACAACTCGGTGAATGCAGCAGGACAGCAGCAGGGCTTCTGCGAGGATGGGCTCTGCCTCTCCCACCAGATTAGGTCCCATTAGGTCACCTGCATTAAGCAGCAGAGGCAATTAAAAATATGTATTTACATACTCATTGGCATTTAAAAAATGCTCCTCAGACAAATAAATAGCAATGTGGGTAAAGTTCTGTCCTGGATAAAAATTGCCTATGATTGTGTAAAACAAGCATGCAATTTCAATAAGGCAAAGACAGCAAATGGCTATAGATGTACTGGTGGGCAGAGCAGGAGGATTATCCTGATCAGCACAACAGGCAGCCCCAGAGGAGTTCATTACGATTTTTGCAGCCATCATGCTGAAGATGACTTTTAAAGGACAATTCAAAGCAATAGGTGGCTCTTTGGCTGTTCCCATGAATGAAGGAAGGCTCGGAGAAAATGCTGCCTGGTGTGGTAGAGAAAAGGACAAACCAGGCAATGGCAGAATATGGTGAGGACATCAATTTGACCAGGATAATTGAACCTAGAAAAACCTGTGAGGTACTTCAGAGATGCGGCCAAAAAGGCCTGAAGGGTTATAGAAAGAGCAATAAAAAGATCTGAGGCATGGAAGAGACTGAAAGATTAAAAGACTCAAGTGGGAGTGATGGCAAATATGAAGGAACCTGACAGGATGACTTGAGATAGTACAAAACATGTCAGCTGAAGTAACACAGAGAAATTCAGCTGAACACATTATTTGCTTTTATTTAACACCAGAGCAAAGTGACATCAGATGGAAATGACAGACAGCAGGTATAAACATTCAAAAGTGAAGTACTACTTTTGGAGAAAAATGCAGGCTTTGCCTGCCATGACTGAACAGGTATTTTCTCATTCTGCCTGCACACGGGACCATGGATATGTGGCCTCTTGTTTCTCCTGAGACAGCAGCAGCAAGTGCTTCATTCATGGCAGTGATTTCCATAAGGCAGTGCTGGAACTGATATTTCAGCCTGACTCCACAGACAGAGGGCAATAACGTGACCAACAGGCCCAGCAGGAACATCGAGAGAAAGAAATGGTCTGCGAGCCACTTCAAGGGGTGATCCAATCAGTAACTGCTGAAGATTAGGGAAAAAAAATAATCCATGAACATTGTGCTCCAGATGTACTTGATTCTGGGATCCTTGCACTTTCTTGTCAGTTCTGGATGCAAATAACTCAACTGATTCAGCTGGAGAGCTGAGGTCCTGCGTGCTTAGCCAGTCTCAGGTGGAGATACGGTGCACATAATGCACATACTACAGAAAGCCACATGCATCTTAAAAGCTTCTCCTTGTCCTTTGGGCAGAAGTGCCCAAATCCAGGGGTTTGCTACCAGGTAAAATGAAACAAAGATACAGTGGCCATGGCTGGAGAGGATATGGTTTACATGTGCTGCGTTATTACGCCTGAGAGGTGCACCTGATTAAATAACATTATATGCAGGAAAGTTGGTGATTGCATTGATGTGCACAAGTGTGGCCAACAAAATTTTGCAGAAGAAGCCTGGGATGAGTGGCTCCCTCAACCTAAACCCGCAGCTTTCAGCATCTGAGCTGCAAAGGGAAGGTACAGCTCTGGATAGAGCAATTGCAGGAGACCACTGGTGACCATTTCTTGCAAGGAGTGTGGGATGTGTAGATGTGGCTTCAGAGCTTCTGCAATCAGCTCCCTGTGCCCTGAGCAGGAGCTGCAGTGACAGAAAGCCCCAGCAGAGCAGCATGCAGCAGAGACATGTTTGCAGAGCACAGGCTCGTGTCTTTGCAAGACCAACTCTCAAACCACCAGTGGAGGTGACGCAGCAGCAGGAAAGCTGCCAAGCAGCTTTATCCCAAAGGAAGAGAAATTGAAACCAATACAATTTAGGAATTCGTTATTGTGATGCTGTTTAATTACCTTGTTCAACTACTCCTTTCTCCAGAAGTAAGCATATTTTGTGCTGCCCATCTGACTCCTGTGTGAGAAAGCAGAGAGATGACTGACCATCAGATAGCTTAGCCTGTTTTTCCCAGGTGTGAGCTCAAGCTAGAGGTTTTGCAGTGATGCCTTAGTGCTTGAACCCAGCCCTCACTGCTGCCCAAAGCCCTGGCAGCAGGGTTACGTACACATGACTCTTATTCACGTCTCTGGAAAAGCTGGATGGGCATCCAAAGGCAAGCTTTGTCTCCAGAAGCAAACACAATATCTCATTATGGTCTGGAAGGATCATTCTCCGGGATTCAGCGCTGGGATGACAAATCCATAAACTCCTTGGGGATCTGTTTCTTTGTAAATACGCAGACATGACTCAGATTATACTAATGTAGTTATGTGTGAAAATGCAGGGGGAAAATGCAACCCCAAACCACCTTCCTCAGAAAATAAGCTGCAAAGCCAAACGTTACTGCATGCCTTTTTTTTTTCTTTTTTTTTTTTCTTTTTTTTTTTTCTTTTTTTTCTTTTTGCTTGGCTATCAGCAATTTGCAAGTTCTCTCTTGTTGGCCCCTGGGAAACAACACATCCCGAGACCGCGAGCACCGAGCAGTTCAAAGCGACGCCAGCGCTCTCCAGCAGGACAGAAGGAGAAAGCCTGCAAAAAATGCTTGGTATTCTCCACGGGCCTGGATGGTCCCTGAGGAGCTTCCCGTGTGCCACGCTGTCAGGCCTTCGCATGCGCAGGTCTTCATCCCCAGGGATGCTTGCAGCTCTTGCACTTGTTAGAGGCTGCCAAATCCCGTCCTGCTCACCAGCCAGCCTTCGGAGGGTTTGATGTTGCAAGCCTCCTGCTAATGGGCTGTGCGCTGGTGCTAATGAGGTTCAGAGCACTGACCACAGGGAGGATGGGCCGCTCGTTATGCTCCTAATTAATTCAAGAACTAATCATACGGTAGCGTGCTCCGGGAGACAGCCCATCCAATGACAGAGGTAAGGAGTCTGCACGAATCTGCCCCCTCGGCATTCACCTCGCAGTATTTTTCCCTGCCTTCTGTAACTCATTTTTTAAAAAGAGACGGCAGAAATCTTGCTCTGCGAGCTGCTTGTGTTCTCCCCCATGGCATCTCGTCTGTACGTTAGCTCCTTCTGCTATTTAAAGTCATCTGGCATTCCTTCTGGGCCCACCCATCCTGCACACTCAGGGCTTAAATTCTTGACCCCTACCGGGAGATGACATTAGCTCTCCGCTTCACTGCCTCTCCCACCTTACTCAAAGCTTATCTGAACCCATGCTTGCTCACATCTCTGATTTTTTTTTCTTTTTCTCTTGGTCATAACACCCTAATTAGGGCCCTGAAGCATACGGAGATGGGTTTTGCATGAAAGGCAATGTTCAGGGTGTAACTGGATCCCCGCTTGTGCAGCTTAGCCGCAGTATTTGAAGGTGATAAAAGATATTTAGAGGTCTCAATTCTTGCCTTTATTTTTTGTAAACGACTCAAAGCCCCTTTTTCTTTTCTGAAGGATCAGAGCTAGTTCCTCTAGTTTTTCTGGAAGAGTCATAACCTTGTATCTCCGTAGCACGTTAAATAAACCCTAGAAGGGTTTCCACATTCCTCTTCAGTGTGTATATATTTACTTGAGAGTGCATCACCTGTTACCCAGCCCACACAGTGGATGTCTATCTCCCAGGTTAAAACACACAAAGTGAGGCCATTAGAAGTGCTCATCACTTTGTTGCTTCTTTGAAGCTGCCTATTAAAAAAAAAAAAAAAGAGACATGAAAAGTTAGTTATATCAGAGGCACTAATAGAAAAAGGAAAGACATCTTCATAACAATTATAGCTAACGACCATTCTTAGATATTAGCTGCAACATTAAATATGGAAAGCTGGTAAATACCACGTTTACATACCAGGGCGATTGTCCTACCTTGGAAAGCTCGGCCGGGAGCAGCAGCAGCAGGTCCTGGAGCTGCTTGGCGCGGGGGGGACATCAGTTACAGAAGAGCTGACACGAGGAATTTGTGCTGCGACTATTCACGGTGCTGGCGCTTGCTGGGTGACTCCGTTCGGGGCCTGTTTGGGGAACGGGACGTGTCCCAGGCCCTGGAAGAAAAGCCAGAGAAATGGGGCATTTCTCAGTAGCATATTCAAAAGAGCATTTGCAAAGCAAACCCTGTGCAAATTAAATGGGTTGGCTCAGCCTGCCCCGAGCGATGCTGGCAGCCCCCAGTTTGGGGTGTCTGCTGTCAGCAGCCAGCCCAGCAACAGCAAAGTGGCTGCGCAGGGCCAAGGGCTTCCCTGTCCCCCTGCTTGGCCTGGCAAGGATGAGGAATAAACTGCTGATGGATGAAATTTGGGGTGCTGGGTGCACCCCGGGCTGAGCTGGTGTGGCTCTGCTGGCCTCAGGGAGAAATGCTGCGGAGGAGCAAGGTAGGGATCAAAGTGCTCAGGTGATAGAGCCGAGTCTGGCCCTGTAATTTTAATTTGAGGTTGAAGTATGCAGTGCTGTATCACCCCAAGGATCAGGGACAAAGGCCAGGCCAAGGCTGAGCTCAGAGGCTCTTGCCATGGCAAGGGGAGAAACATCAAGGCTGATGGAGAGGTGTAGGACACCAGGGCTGGTCAGAACAACTGCTGCTGGGGGAGGCTGTGCCCCCACAAAGTGATACCCCAGCCTCTCCTTACACAGCCTCCAGAGTGGTCTCTGGCTTCCCAGGGCTCTGGAAAGAGCAGGATCACAGACCTTGACCTTCCCCATGGGGAGCTGCCTGCTTTGCCTGTGCATAGAGCTTGTCCTACTCTTTAGGGCTAGGCTTATTGTTTTATAAGATATTTCCAAAAGATATATCCAAGAAGAGCAAGCCAGTGATTACTCGACAGGCTGACGATTGCCAGTGATTACTCCCAGAGCAGTGCCTTCTGGACCCCACTGCATTTCTATCTGGTGCTGTAAGCTCTGCTCTCCAGGCTGACCGCACTCATTAGCTAGCAGATCTCGTGGAATTTTGCTCTAGAAATGAGCTTCCTCTGTAACTGCTGCAAATTCCTCAGAGTTTGAAGGCACATGGGACATACCCAAACTACAACCCCAAGCCTGGGCAGCAGGAATGGGCCCTGAGGAGAGATTCCTTGGAGGGAATGGGAGGAGACTTCTCAGAAGATGCTGGAGGTTGCTCTAGCCAGATGGCAAAAACTGCTTTCATGGCTTTTCTATAGAAAAATGGAGAGGGGAAGGAGAGGGGACTGGGGCTGAAGTGGAAATGGGTTTGGCTGCAAGGAAATAGATGGGTACACCAGGTGTGCCAGCAGTTTGGGCTGCCCTTGAAATACGGAAGAAACTAATGTGGGAAAGCCAGCCCAGGTACTGTGTCTGGACTGATCCAACAGCCAAGGGCTGGAGACCTGCGTTCAGGTGCCCATTCCTATGCCTTCTTGGGCAAGCCCCTCAGCCAGATGGTTCTTCAGTCCTGCAAAACTCCACATGGAGATAAAAGCTTTTCCAGACCTCACAGCAACGTACACACTTGGATGGGATAAACCCTGAATACTAAGACAATGGGTGCAAGGCAAAATATTTAGGTAGAGAGGCAAAATATTTAGGTAGAGAGGCAAAACCATGATCTGGCGCTTTCAGGTCACCCTTACAGAGAACACCTCTAGCAGGTGCTACCAAGGGCTGCCCAGAGAAGCTGTGGGGGCTCCTCCTGGGAGTTCTGGGCATCCTGTGCTGGGGGGCCCTGCTGGAGCAGGGCTTGGGGCCGGGGGCCTCCAGAGCCCCCTGCCAGCCTCAGCCATTATTTATTTTTTTTTTTTTCTGTGATTTTAATAATGAAGGAGATGATTTGAAGACCTCCCTGAAGGGTTTCACCCAATAAATCCTGATTATTTGGGCTTTGTGCAGACAAAACGATTGTTACCCTAACTTCTTAAGGCACATAAGCATTTAAGCTTTCTTAAATCTTTAAGGTAGCACAATGTAAGCATTAAAGCCAACTTAAATCCTTATTAAGTCTTCTAGGTGCTTAAAGCATGTAAGCCATTTTTTAGAATGACTTCTGATTTCCATGGGAAGGGCGTAAGGCTGACGGACACTTTGTACACAGTGTCCTTTTAAAGTTCACGCTGTCAGACAAGCCAATGTCTCATATTCAGCCTTATCAGGGAAAGAAAAATGAAAAATGTCTAGAACTTTAATTTCCCTGTCATTTCAGCTTCGGTCCTGGGTTCACAGGCTATATATGATTATAAATGTGACAGGGTTTTGAGAGGATGGTTCTCGATCCACCAGCTCATCCCAGGGGTTCATGTCACCCCATCCCGTAGCTTTGCCGCGCTGGCCCATGGCACATACCTCAGAGGATGGTGGAGGAGGTTGTGAAGGAGCGAATTTCATGCACATACAGGGACAGTCGCAGTTCATCACCAGCTGAAAGCATTTTGCCCTGACTTTTCAGCAGCGACCTTTGGATCGCAATCAACCTTGGGACGTTACCCATCCGAAAAGGCAACATTTCTGGCGTGCCGCGAAGGCAAGGCTTCAGGGTAGAAACCGCTTTTGCAACTTTGACTGTATGATTGCACTCAAGAGGATGCCGTAACAAACTGCTGAGTCCAGTAAATCTTTCTATGAACAGGGATCCAATCCAGCAAACGCTGTCCTTTGCACACAGTCAAAGAAACTGCTTAGCCCCACGAATAAAGGCTACATGTGTGGCAAAGGGTTTAGGGGACTGGGTCCTCAGCTGACAGAGCGTAACTCCTGCTACAGTTCTGACCTTTTCTGGTTCCTAGCTTCCCTTGCTCAGTGAAATCCCTCGCACAAGGGAACAGCTGATGGAGCTCCTGTCTGTTTCATTCAGCAGGCTGCCTCCTTCTGGCCCTTAGCTTGTGTCAGCAGCGCAGGCACGCATTGAAGCTGTCCTCCAAAGGTAACAGGGGGAGGAACTTGCTCTGAAGGCTCCCACTGAGAGCAAGAGGGACATCTCATCTAAGTGTAGACCACTGTGCCGGAATCCTTCAAGGGCTGACACCGTAGGACCCGGGTCTGATTCATCTTTCTTAACTGTGTCCTAATAAAATCTATTACCAGGCCATCTGTGCCTGACCTAGCCACCCTTTGTAGTTAATGGCTGAGACTGGGCACATTCAGAAAGCCATTCACCTCAGCATCTCAAGGTCAGTTGTGAAACTCCCCCTCTACTCTGTACAACACCATCGCTGTTGAATCATGGGGTCAGTCTATTTTTTCCTCCTTGCACTTAATTGCAGACTGTTAGTGTATGCCATAAAAGGTTTATGCAAGCATACCCAAGTGGCTTTGAATGCTTTCCACATCCCTGCATTCGCATGTGAGGAGTGACCAGCTCACAGTGGCAGGTTCTCAGCAGACCCGGGGTTTAGGGCTGAATGCCTCCAAGTTGGGGTATTCAGATGGACGGCAGTGTTTGGAGTCAGTGACCGCACTCATGCCCACATAATCATGAGCATGTACAGGCCATGGGGAATTGTTAAAACGGAGACTGATTTGTCTGCAACAAAAGTCTTGTCTGAGTTTTGCTATGAAGTACCTCATTAGTCTGATGTTTTTTTGTGACATCCCATTGGTAGTAGATATGAATAGAAGTGTTTTGTGTTGGTTTTGTTTGTTGTTGTTTTTTTTTTTGTTTTTTTTTTGTTTTTTTTTTTCCCCCGTTTCACACATGAGCAGTAGGCACAAATTCCCACGTCTGCTGAACACTGGCCTGCCCTCCACGTGCGCGATGTGTACCCGAAGAGCCTGCAAGATGCTGAACATCCCCTGCTGATGAGAGCAGCCAGGTAGTTATGTGCCTCAGCCTCTCGGATAATCTAGCCCAAAAAGGGAATGGAAAAGTTCAAGAGCTTATTTAAGAGCTCCGTGCCCAAACTTAGCTCGTGCAGAAGGAATCTGCGGGCCGAGCGAGCGCCGTTTGCTGCAGCTCCCTTTCCTCCTTCTGTCCCGGGACGAGTCACATACCCAAGCCAGCCTGGAGACCCCACTGAGACAAGCTGGAAGGGGATTGCCATGCTCAGAGCAGCACACAATGGACAGGGCAAATATTTATCACGCTTGGAAGTGGCAACTCAGCTGATGGGCAATGTGGCCAGTCACCCTGATGTGGAAACACAGGGAGGGAAGAGGACTGGCTGCACGCCAGCCCAAGGGGATGGTGAGCTCTGCTGCTGCCACCAGGTGCTACTGGCCACCAGGACCCCAGGTCTGCTTTCCTCTGTGCTGGACTTCATCAGTGTTGGACCATTTCTCCAGCCTGTGGAGGCCCTTGCTCTCACCTCACCTATTACTTGGCTGGAGAAAAGAATGTCTTCCTGGCACCCCAAGACATCTCTGCTTATCTGAACGATCTGAAGGAGAGATTTGTAGTCACCCCAATGAGATTCATGAAAAATACACCGCATGCCTAGCCTTCATAGAGATGGAAAGCAAGCGTAATGCACTACTGTTAAATTGCTGGTCACCTGCAGAGACAATGACCTCTACTCTGCAGTACCCCCTTAATACCTAATGTGAGTGATACTTCGTGATGACAGTCAAGAGCTCATTCTCCTTGCTAGACCATTAACATCATTATTCTAATTACCTATCAAGTCCTATTCTTGCGTGTGGTGCTGCACAAAAACAAAGGGAATATTGTATTTCTCTCCCAAAGTTTGCGCTCTTAATCAAAGAAGGAAAGCATTCAGGCACCTAACAAATTGCAGAGGCTATAGAGGGGTAGAAATTACGCGATGAATTAGCTAGGCAACATTTGTGAGAAAAATGGCTGGGTGGAAAACATACTTCCCTGTCAATCCCAGGCCCCTACATCCTCACCAAGTGGAACGCGGGAGGGCTGAGTATCTAGCAGCCTGATCCATGGGCAGCAACTCCTTTGGAGTATTTTGACTGATTTACTTGACGTTTCCTCATGGCGTTTATGGTATAAAAATGATCCAGCAATTTCTGCTCCATCATGTCAAGAAGCTAATTTCCTCCTTCCTGGTATTTGTTCACAAAGAACAAAAAGAGAGGTGAAGTGCTTGAATTTCCCCAAATCCCAGTATGTCTTGGATGCAAATCTTTTTCTATAGTATAAAGTAAGAATTTGTGCAATTCCCTTTTCTATTCCATTAACAAAGTTTCCTGCTGGCAGTATCCAAAATAAATCTGAGGTCTGGCATAACATATAGCGATGACTCTATAGAAAAATACTTTTAATTTGAT